GACAGACCCGTCCCCACCGGTACTGTACCCCAGTGTTATACAGCGACAGACCCGTCCCCACCGGTACTGTACCCCCGTGTTATACAGCGACAGACCCGTCCCCACCGGTACTGTACCCCAGTGTTATACAGTGAGAGACCCGTCCCCACCGGTACTGTACCCCAGTGTTTTTCAGCGACAGACCCGTCCCCACCGGTACTGTACCCCAGTGTTATACAGCGACAGACCTGTCCCCACCGGTACTGTACCCCAGTGTTATACAGCGACAGACCTGTCCCCACTGGTACTGTACCCCAGTGATAGTTCCTCTGTGTGTGGAGTGCTTGCTGTGGTGTGTGTGTTGTTGACTGTCTCGCTCTTGTCTTGCAGAATGTTGTCCCTAAAGGGCACTCTGATTCTGCTGTTGCTGTTCTTCAGCAGTTTTTTTGGTAGTATCTTCATGCTGGCTCCATTCCTCCCGGTCATGCTGCTGTCCACCTCCGTCTACCGCTGGATTACTGACCGAATCGTTGCTATCTGGCTCACCCTCCCTGTGGTAAGTGCCATTTACACGAAATTTCCCCTTTCCAATTGGGCAGTCCATGCTCCTTTCGGCAGGTCCTGTCCTGTCCTGTCCTGACTGTGCTGTGTTTATACCAGGCTCTGCTGGAGATGGTGCTTGGTGTGAGGGTGGTTATCACCGGTGATGGCTTTGTATCCGGTGAGCGTACTGTGATCATCATGAATCATCGGACGCGTCTGGACTGGATGTACATGTGGAACTGTCTCCTCCGATACAGCTACCTCAGAATGGAGAAGATCTGCCTGAAATCATCCCTCAAATCCATTCCAGGCTTTGGTGAGTCTGCCTGACTGTTGACTGCTCTCCCCATGACTATATGTTTCAGTGTGCAGTGGGTGTGTGCTGGACAGGCAGTAAGTGTCTGTATGGATAGAACATGGAACATAGAACATAGAACATTACAGCGCAGTACAGGCCCTTCGGCCCTCGATGTTGCGCCGACCTGTGAAACCAATCTGAAGCCCATCTAACCTAAACTATTCCATTATCATCCATATGTCTGCATTGTGCGGCTGAGCATAAATTCGAATGGTCAAAGTGAGTTAGCCCACAGCCAGCACTGATACCTCTCTGAAAGCCAACCATTTTGCAAGGAAGAATCATTGTCGACTTGCAAAGACCGGTTGATGGTAGCAGAATTCAGTTTAATGTGGGGGTGTGTCAGGTTCTTCACTTGGATTGTAAAGTTAAAGAATATTATAAAAGGTGTGGAACTTGTAAATATTGATTTCTAGACTTTTTCTGCATTTGTGAGATGCTGACATCACTGCCTGGGCCAGCATTTTATTGTCCCTTGAGAAGGTGGTGGTGAGCTGCCTTCTTGAACAGCTGCAGTCCTCCTGCTGTGGGTTGACCCACAATGCTATTAGGATTTTGACCCAGTGACAGTGAAGGAACGGCAAAATATTTCCAAGTCAGGATGGTGAGTGGCTTAGAGGGGAACTTGGAGGTGGTGTGTTCCCATGTATCTGCTGCCCTTGTCCTTCTAGATGGAAGTGGTCATGGGTTTGGAAGGTGCTGTCTGAGGATCTTTGGTGAATTTCTGCAGTGCACCTTGTAGATAGTACACACTGCTGTTACTGAGCTGGTGGTGGAGGGAGTGGATGCTTGTGGATGTAGTGCCAATCAAGCGGCTGCTTTATCCTGGATGGTGTCAAGCTTCTTGAGTGTTGTTGGGGCTGCACCAATCCAGGCAAGTGGGGAGTATTCCATCACACTCCTGATTTGTGCCTTGTAGATGGTGGGCAGGCTTTGGGGAGTCAGGAGGTGAATTACACGCTGCAGGATTCCCAGCCTCTGACCTGTTCTTGTAGGCACTGTGTTTATTTGGCAAATCCAGTTCAATTTATGATTAATGGTAACCCCTAGGATATTAGTAATGAGGGATTCAGTGATGGTAACGTATTGAATGTCAAGGGGTGATGGTTGGACTGTCTCTGATGTCACTGTGACTGGACGGTGGTCACTTTTCCCAACGGATTGGTGAGGACGAGATCAGGTCTGTTTTTTCCCCTCTTGCTGGTACCCTCACCACCTGCCGCAGACCCAGTCTAACAGCTGTGTCCTTTAGGACCCAACCAGCTCAATCAGTAGTACTGCTGCCGAGCCAGTCTTGGTGGTGGACATTGAAATCCCCCACCCAGAGTACATTTTGTGCCCTTGCCATCCTCAGTGCTTCCTCTAAGTGTCTTTCAACAGGAGAGACTGATTCATTAGCTGAGGGGGAACGATATGTGGTAATCAGCAGGAAGTTTCCTTGCCCATGTTGAGGATTCCCAGAGTAACTCCCTCCCCGACTGTATCCCATTGTGCTGCCACCTCTACTGGGTCTGTCCTGCCGGTGGGACAGGACATATCCAGGGATGGTGATGGTGGTGTCTGGGACATTGTCCGTAAGGTATGATTCTGTGAGTATGACTATGTCAGGCTGTTGCTTATATAGTCTGTGAGACAGCTCTCCCAATGTTGGCACTAACCCCCAAATGTTAGTTTTTTTCTTAATTCATTCATGGAATGAGGGTGTCGCTGCCTAAGTCAGCATTTATTGGGAAGTTTAGAGTCAATGGGTAAGGATGGTAGATTTACTTCCCTGAAGGACATCAGTGAACCAGATGGGAGTTTACAATTGACAATAGTTTCATGGTCATCATTTGACTCATAATTCCAATTTTTATTGAATATAAATTCCATTATCTACCACTGAGGGTGGCAAGGGATTTGAACCCTGGTCTCTGGGAACATGACCTTTGTCTCTGGATTACTATTCAAGTGACAATACCCCTAGACCAGCACCTCCTGATATTGTCACAGGCTCAGTATAGAACATAGAACATAGAACAGTACAGCACAGTACAGGCCCTTCGGCCCATGATGTTGTGCCGAACTTTTACCCAAAACCTAAGGTCGATCTAACCTCCATCCCTACCTTATACTATCATCTGTGTTTCTGGATTACTATTCAAATGACAATACCCCTGGACCAGCACCTCCCGATATCATCACAGTCTCAGTATAAGGAGTGATCGTTTAGGACTGAGATGAGGTGACATTTCTTTTCTGAGGATTGTGAACCTTTAGAGTTCTCTGCCCCACAGGAATGTGGAGGCTCCTAGAATGAGTATATTTCTGAGGAAGGGTCACCCGATCCAAAACATTAACTCTGATTTCTCTCCACAGATGCTGCCAGACCTGCTGAGCTTTTCCAGCAATTTCTGTTTTTGTTTTCGTTTCTGATTTCCAGCATCTGCAGTTCTCTCGGTTTTTATTTAATATTTAAGGCTGTGTTTTGGTCCTGAGGGATATGGGGAGGAGGCAGGAACGTGGAGCTAAGACTGAGGATCAGCTATGATTACATTGAGAAGCCTACTCCACCACCATCTGTATGGACTGCTCCTGCTTCTCTTCGTTATTTTCTCAAGTTGAACACTATTTACAGTGAATAATTTAACTCCACAGCACCGTCTGAATACTGTCTTCTGGCAATTTGGGTTAAGCAATAAATGCCCACATCCCAGGAGTGAATAAAGAAAATCTTGTCCAGGGAATGTTTGATGGGGATAATATTGATGAAATTCACTCTCACTGAGCTTCCCTTCTGGTTAAAAACAACATGGTCAATGTTTTTGCTGAAACATGGTAAATTTGGAATGGAGAGGAAGTTAAAGAGAGTATGTGGTGATCAGCCACATTGAGACTGAGCTTGCTTGTCACAAGAGTTTGCAATAAGCTGTATTTCCGGTTCAGAGAACTGCAGCCTCTGTCAATGTCAACAAGTGGTTAGTAGACTTTCCAGTAAATCGACCAGAGCAGAGAAACCACTGAGAGGGTGAACAGCGGGAGTTCAGTCATGCAGCAAGCTCTTGCTGCAGCTTCTCTGCAGAGGTTCGGAGTGGGAGCAGGAGGCGAGAGGTCTCCCTGAGTAGCTGCAGGTTATGCCTGACCTGCAGAGACCGCACGCTGTCCTTGCTGCAGCATCTGTGTGTGTCCACCCATCACTGTGCAGCAATCAGAACACTAGGCCTATAGCTCGGAGTGACCTGTACCCTCTCCACTATGCCCCCTCCCTCCGTCACCCTCCTTCCCCTTTCCTCTGTCCTCTACCCTCCACCCCTCCCTACCCCTCCTCCTCCTCCTCCTCCTCTCCCCCTCATACTCCCTGTTCCTCTCTCTGGGAGGAAAGTCCCAGTATTTAGAGACAGGAAAAGAGAGAGGGGATGGGGGTTGACATTAAGTTTAGTAGTTTTGGAAGTGTTTGGATGGAGCAGTGCCCCTGTGAGGAGAAGGACAGAGTGAGATTACCTGACTCTGGATTGATGAGTCAGTCTGAGCCTCAGACCAGACTAATCTCGATGAATCGTAGACCAGGCTGGAGGGCAGGTCCAGTTTATTAATTATTCAACCCCTGAGATGTTAGACACAAGGACTGTGGTGGGAGCTTTGGGTGAGTGGTGTTTACAGGGTGTGTTTTTGTGTACTGCATAAAAGCTGTTGCTTTTTCTTTTCAATTTATAAAGGAGTCCTTGGGGCTTAATGTGATTATACTTTGTGTTTAAAAAAATCTTTGAATTTGTATAATAAGGTGATAATTTGGCTTATTCTGTGTTATGTTTTTGTTTTGCTCATAAACTTCTGTTTTATTGCAAAAGTAAAACTCTGCTGAATTATGTGTTTATGTTTGAATGAGGGACCACTACGTACAAACCAGAAGAGACTGTGCTGTGTTCAGCCAGCGTGTGGTCTGGGACAGGGGGTGAGGGGCGTGTGGTCCGGGATGGGGGGCCCCGTGTGCGGCTCACTGTCTGCTCTTCTCCTTTCAGGCTGGGCCATGCAGATGTCTGCATTCATCTTCGTTCGAAGGAATTGGGAAGAGGACCAGCAACATCTCAGTCTCATGTTGGATTACCTGTGTGATATCAAGCATCCTCTGCAGCTTCTTATGTTCCCTGAGGGTACAGATCTCACAGGTTTGTCCCTGACCTCTCTCAACTCCTCTTTCAATTGCTTCCTGTTCCTGTATCAGCCTCCTAGTCAACAGCTTCTTTACTAACTTACTATCTACTTGTAGGAAGGTCCGAGCTGTAGCCAGGTTACAATATCTGACACAATTTCTTGCTCACAGTAATCAATATCAGTTCAGAAAATCACCTTCAACTGTAGTGACATGGAACTGCCACCATGAACTTAATAGCTTAACTACTTTACAGTTTCAGTCATACTTTTGGAAACTCTGATTTATGTTGTGTATTTGATTCAGAAGTTCAGTTTGAGAATTACCTGGCAGAAAGTCCCTGGGCCAAGCTTTCATGTGAATTGATGCTTAATTCTGGGTGCACTATGTTGCCCAGTTGGCATTTTTACCCCAGTGGTCAGGAAGCTTTGAAAATAAGAATCTGGGTCAGAATTAAGAATCAGTTCAACTTCTTTTCATGAGATATTTGCTGCTGATCCTTGATTGTAGGATTGTCTTTTAGAGGACAGTCAAGCATCACATTGCTGAGAGTCTGGAGTCACATGTAGGCCAGACCAAGTAAGGATGGCAGATTTCCTCCCCTAAGCGACATTAGTCAACCAGATGGGTTTTTAATGACAATTGACAATGTTTTTCTGCCCTTGGCCCAAATGAATTAATAGAATTTAAATTTCAGCAGCGATTTGAAGCCACATTCCTAGAACATGACCCTGGGCCTTTGGATTACTATAATAGGGACATTGCTACCATCTGCCTCACCTCCCAAGGGCTTTCAGAGCTGAGACACTGGGTAGTGAGGTTGGAGAAGCTGGGGGTATTCTCCTTGCAGGAGGGAACATTGAGAGGAGATCTGATCAAAGTGCTCAATATCATGAGGGGTCAGGGATACAGGGGAACTGTTAATTGGTTAAAATATTTGAGAAGAGTATTTTACAGACCGAGTAGTGAGGAGGGTGTTCTGGAGGCTCATTCAGGGGTGCTGTTGATTTGGGATCGGGGTTTATAAGAGAAGAATAACATTTTGTAGGGTTACAGGGAAAAGATGTGAAGTGGGACAATGTGAGTTGCTCTTTGGAGAGCTGGCACAAACACGACTGGCTGAATAGCCTTCCTCCGTGTTATAACCAGCCTTCAATATAAAGTACAAATGTGCCACATTGACAGCAATACAATCACCAACTCTCTCAGTTACCTCATTCAAAACACTCAACCAGGGAGGTAGGAACTTTGTGTCATCCAGAGGATCCATCTCGGCCTCCTCCGGTGGTCCTCAGCATCACAGATACCAGTCTTCAGCCAATTCGATTCACTCCACGTGATATCAAGAAACGGTTGGAGACACTGGATACTGCAAAGGCTACGGGCCCTGACAACATTCCGGCAATAGTACTGAAGACTTGTGCTCCAGAACTTGCCATTCCCCTAGCCAAGCTGTTCCAGCACAGTTACAACACTGGTATCTACCCAACAATGTGGAAAATTGCCCACGTATCTCCTGTACACAAAAGGCAGGACAAATCCAACCCAGCCAATTACCGTCCCATCAGTCTACTCTCAATCATCAGTAAAGTGATGGAAGGTGTCATTAACAGCGCTATCAAGCAGCACCTGCACAGCAATAACCTGCTCAGTGACGCCCAGTTTGGGTCCCGCCAGGGCCACTCGGCTCCTGACCTCATTACAGCCTTGGTTCAAACATGGACAGAAGAGCTGAATTCCAGAGGGTGAGGTGAGAGTGACAGCCCTTGATATCAAGGCTGCCTGCAACTGAGTGTGGCATCGAGGAGTCCCAGCAAAACTGGAATCAATCTGTATCAGGGGCAAACGCTGCGGTGGTTGGAGTCATTACCTGACCCATAGGAAGATGGTCATGGTTGTTGGAGGTCAGTCATCTGAGCTCCAGGACATCTCTGCAGGAGTTCCTCAGGGCAGTGTCCTAGGCCCAACCATCTTCAGCTGCTTCATCAATGACCTTCCCTCCATCATAAGGTCAGAAGTGGGGATGTTCGCCAATGATTGCACAATGTTCAGCCACATTCGTGACTCCTCAGATAGTGAAGCAGTCCATGTGGAGAGTTGCTTTTCAGACTGGAGGCCTATGACCAGCGGTGTGCCACAAGGATCAGTGCTGGGTCCATTGCTCTTCATGGCTTAGATGTGAACATCGGAGGTATGGTTAGTAAGTTTGCAAATGACACCAAAATTGGAGGTGTAGTGGACAGTGAAGAAAGTTACCTCAGAGTACAACTGGACCTTGATCAGATGGGCGAATGGGCTGAGGTGATGCAGATGGAGTTTAATTTAGATAAATGTGAGGTGCTGCATTTTGGAAAAGCAAATCAGGGCATAACTTATACACTCAAATGGTAAGGTCCTGGGGAGTGTTGCTGAACAAAGAGAACATGGAGTGCAGGTTCGTAGTTCCTTGAAAGTGGTGTCATGGGTAGATCGGATAGTGAAGAAGGCATTCGGTACGTTTGCCTTTAATGGTCAGTGCACTGAGTATACGAGTTGGAAGAGTCCTCTTGCGGCTGTACAGGACATTGGTTAGGCCACTTTTGGAATACTGCTTTCAATTTTGGTCTCCCTGCTATAGGAATGATGTTGTTAGACATGAAAGGGTTCAGAAAAGATTTACAAGGATGTTGCCAGGGTTTAGAGGGTTTGAGCTTTAAGGAGAGGCTGAATAGGCTGGGGCTATTTTCCCCTGGAGCATTGAAGGCCGAGGGGTGACCTTACAGAGGTTTATAAAATCATGTGGCTAAAGAGGATACAAAGATCTCTGTAAAGGCCTCAGCAATCTCCTCCCTTGCCCTTGTCAGTATCCTGGGGGTACATCCCATCAGACCCTGGGGACTTATCCACCTTAATGTTTTTCAAAACACCCAACACCACCACCACCTTAATATTAACATGCCTTTGAATATCATCATACCCCTCCCTAATCTTAACTATCATCCATGTCCTTCTCCTTGGTGAGTATTGATGTGAAGTAATCGTTAAGGACCTCCCCCTCTTCCTCTGACTACAGACACAAACTCCTTCCTTTGTCCTTGAGCGAACCCAGCCTTTCCCTAACTACCCAATTGCTCCTAAAATACATACCTTGGGATTCTCCTTCATCCTACTTACGAAGGACATTTCTTGCCCCCTTCTAGCTGTCCTAATTTCTCTTTTAAGTTTTTTCCTGCTTCCATTATACTCATTAAGGGCCTTGTCTGATTCCTGTTTCCTAATGTCTACATATGCTTCTTTTTTCTTTCAAACTAAACTTACTACATCTCTCATCATCCAAGATTCCTGAATCTTGCCATCCTTATCTTTCATCCTCACAGGAACATGCTGGTCCTGACTCTGATCAACTGGCCTTTAAAAGATTCCCACGCATCAAATGTGGATTTACCCTCAAGCAGTCACCCCCAGTCTAATTTCTCCAGGTCCTGT